GGGGGGCGAACATGGTCGTAGTAAAGGTCAATTTTCACTGCATCTATAGTACACGAGAACGAACAGTCACATCCAACTCGGGGCTTCAGTTTTATTTGTGAGTCTTAATAACGTATTTCCAAATAAACACATATTCTTTTAGATTTCGGTACAATACAAATTAAATTGAGTTTCATCTCGTAAAGATGGATTCGGCCGTTTTACCACTCCTAATCGATAAAAGGATTTAAATTTTACGAGATGTTTCCTTGGGTCATGTTGTTAAATTTGAAGAAAAAATATCCGTTTGATCCCTTGGTACCTGTAGATATCGGTCAAATGGAATTTATTCAAATACAGCAGGTTACGTAGGTCTGGCCTAAAGACACTTAACGCAACAATAAATGCTTATCGATGAGTGGCCATAAAACGGCCAAATATGGCACCACCCTTTCTTCATGTCTTCTGCATTAACGGAGGTTTAATAACAACAGACCAGACTTATAATAAGTGTACACACAATTCTAGGTCTGGCATTATTTGTACGTTGGTTGGTTGGTTTTATATGAAAACATTACAATAGGAGTCGTTTTATTCAAGAGAAACTTCCAATCAGCGCTGTAACAAGAATGGTCAATGCGCGAGTCTCAGGCCATTTTTATTGTGATGTTAGATACCTGAAGGCTGACCTCAGACATCTTTATCGTGTTATTAGAGGCTGTCCGGATGGGCTCTGAACTAAGACATAACGGGTGTCCTATTAGATGGTGTCCGGATGGGCTCTGTACTAAGATATTACGGGTGGCCTATTAGAGGCTTTCCGGATGGGCTCTGAACTAATACATTATGGTTGTCCTATTAGATGGTGTCCGGATGGACTCAGACTAAGACAAAACGGGTGTCCTATTAGAGGCTGTCCGGACGGGCTCTGAACTAAGACATTACGGTTGTTATATTAGAGGCTTTCCGGATGGGCTCTGAACTAAGACATTACGGTTGTCCTATTAGAGGCTTTCCGGATGGGCTGTTAACTATTTCATTATGGTAGTCCTATTAGATGGTGTCCGGATGGGCTCTGAACTAAGACATAACGGGTGTCCTATTAGAGGCTGTCCGGATGGGCTCTGAACTAAGACATTACGGTTGTTATATTAGAGGCTTTCCGGATGGGCTCTAAACTAAGACATTACGGTTGTCCTATAAGAGGGTTTCCGGATGGGCTCTGAACTAATACATTATGGTTGTCCTATTAGATGGTGTCCGGATGGGCTCTGAACTAAGACATAATGGGTGTCCTATTAGAGGCTGTCCGGATGGGATCTGAACTAAGACATTACAGGTGACCTATTAGAGGCTTTCCGGATGGGCTCTGAACTAAGTCATTACGGTTGTCCTATAAGAGGCTTTTCGGATGGGCTCTGAACTAATACATTATGGTTGTCCTATTAGATGGTGTCCAGATGGGCTCTGAACTAAGACATAACGGGTGTCCTATTAGAGGCTGTCCGGATGGGCTCTGAACTAAGACATTACGGTTGTCCTATTAGAGGCTTTCCGGATGGGCTCTTAACTATTTCATTATGGTAGTCCTATTAGATGGTGTCCGGATGGGCTCTGAACTAAGACATTACGGGTGTCCTATTAGAGGCTGTCCGGATGGGCTCTGAACTAATACATTATGGTTGTCCTATTAGAGGCCTTCCGGATGGGCTCTGAACTAAGTCATAACGGTTGTCCTATTAAGGGCTTTCCGGATGGGCTCTGAACTAAGACATTACAGTTGTCCTATTTGAGACTGTCCGGATGGGCTCTGAACTAAGACATTACAGGTGACCTATTACAGGCTGTCCGGATGGGCTCTGAAATAAGACATTACGGGTGTCCTATTAGAGGCTGTCCGGATGGGCTCTGAACTAATACATTATGGTTGTCCTATTAGAGGCCTTCCGGATGGGCTCTGAACGAAGTCATAACGGTTGTCCTATTTGAGACTGTCCGGATGGGCTCTGAATTAAGACATTACAGGTGACCTATTAGAGGCTGTCCGGATGGGCTCTGAACTAAGACATTACGGGTGTCCTATTAGAGGCTGTCCGGATGGGCTCTGAACTAATACATTATGGTTGTCCTATTAGAGGCTTTCCGGATGGGCTCTGAACTAAGTCATTACGGTTGTCCTATTAAGGACTTTCCGGATGGGCTCTGAACTAAGACATTACAGTTGTCCTATTTGAGACTGTCCGGATGGGCTCTGAACTAAGACATTACGGTTGTCCTATTAGAGGCGGTCCGGGTGGAATTCTGTCTTGGGTATTATTCTTGTACAATTGGCCTACAGAAATTCTGTTCTCAGATGTTAAGGGTGTCCAGAGGTCATATGGGCTAAACTTGTTCTCACCTGCTCTGATTTCCGGCCAGTCCATTGAGCTCATTAGTGACCTCATATGCTTGCTTTCCCACCTCAGCTGACAACTCGGTCTGTCAAAACAGTACCAGCCCCCTATGACAAGAAGTTTGCTTATTAAATAAAGTTATATAACATGGTCATCTGTCAGCACACAGATACACACATACATCGATTAACATGCAGATACACGCGTTAAATATATTACTTTACTTATTTCTTATATAGAATAGCATGTTACTACTACCGTAGATTTGTAAAACACTGACGTCATTTATTCAAATATAAGATACGCAGCGTCTAGTGACGCCAATGATACAAACTTCAGATACACAGCGTGTAGTGACGTCATTTATACCAACTTAAGATACACATGGTCTACTAACGTCATTTATTACGAGCCCAGATAATAAATTATGCTAACACTTGACTTATCAAAGATATTTTGTCATTTCAGACACACGTACAGAACTTCTAAACCTCCGTACATCGCTATTAATTTCTTATCTCGTCTTTTTGTTCTGTCTAAAGAAAATGTCTATGATCTCTTTTTCTCCGGTAGATTTGCATTTTACAGATGAAAGCTTAGCCTTGAGGCCCACCAGTGTTTGTTTTTGTCTCCGCTGTAAGAGTATGTAACGACTTGACAAGGAATAAGTATACGTAATGAGTTGACAAAAGTATGAGATATCTTAAATAGCATAGATGATATCTCATTTAATTTCTATATAACACATTTTACATAATGTAAAAGACATCTCGTATCTTCTGTATATACAATATCGTGTAAATGAACTTATGCAATACAGGACGTAATTGATCATTGAGTAAATGTTAAATTAGCTTGCCATAGTAAATATCCGTGTTGATTAAACTAGGAGTAAGTGTATGTAATGAGTGAACTAACACCAAGTGTGTATAATGATTGAACAATGAGTAAGCGTATGTAATTAGTGAACTAGGAGTAAGTGTATGTAATGTGTACTAAGAGTAAGTGTATGTAATGAGTGAACTAGGAGTAAGTGTATGTATTGAGTGAACTAGGAGTAAGTGTATGTATTTCATGAACTAGAAGTAAGTGTATGTAATTAATGAAGTAGGAGTAAGTGTATGTAATGAGTGAACTAGATGTAAGTGTATGTAATGAGTCAACTAGGAGTATGTGTATGTAATGAGTGAACTAGGAGAGAGTGTATGTGATGAGTGAACTAAGATCAAGTGTGTGTAATGATTGAACTAGGAGTAAGTGTTTGTTATGAGTGAGCTATGAGTATGTGTATGTATTGAGTGAACTAGGAGTAAGTGTATGTAATTAATGAACTAGGAGTAAGTGTATGTAATTAATTAACTAGAAGTAGGTGCATGTAATTAATGAACTAGGAGTAAATTATGTAATGTAAGGAGTAAGTGTATGTAATGTGTACACTAAGAGTAAGTGTATGTAATGAGTGAACTAGGAGTACGTGTATGTAATGAGTAAACTAGGAGTAAGATTCATTGTACTTTATGAGTTTTCAAAGAATGAATCTCGAGACTGGGAGCGGAAACGTCAAGTGTCTATGAGAGGGTGATGTTTTGGTACGAACCTTCCAGGAAGACGATCCATCGCTTGCTCCCGTAAGATTTGCGAATGTAATACCTGTAAAATAAATAACAAAAACGTAAATGATGATATCAAAAACAAAAGACGACAGTGGTTTTGTTTATGGTGTACACAGACAGGTGTAGGACCTAAGAACAAACCCGTGTTTGTGAATGGAGTCCCAGTTACAGCTGTAGTAGGCCGACCTGTCAATCACTCGGCTCGGGCCTGACCCCGGGTCCACCACTACACAGACACTTGATAGCTAAACAGTGCTCCACGATTTATCATTATTGCTGTTGGAGTGGTTTGAGTTTTTTTCTAAAAACCACAACGAGATCCTATTTCAGTTATTTCATTTTTTTACAGAAGCTTGTGTAAGACGTAAGGGGTCTTCTCGGTCCCGTTGGGGAAAGACATTCGATTAGAGGTTGCAGAACTCCCTAAGAATTCACACCATCACTACAGCCACGATGTGATACGTGCTTATACTAGATTTATCGTGATATCCTATATATTTAATTTTTAATATTTAGGAACAGACAGCTGTCTTTTGAGAATATCATAAAATGATTGGCTAAACTATAAAACACTAGAAAACAGTGTTTACAATATCGTTCATCCTCGGTATAGTATCGGTCGCCAAGACGTTCGATTTCACCTATCGTCCTCCATAAAATCTGGTTCGCCAAGAGGTTTGATTTCTCCCATCGTCCTCTATAAAATCTGGTTCGCCAAGACGATTGATGTACGTTTTTCTTATCGGAATCCTTCCATACATTGCAAATTTGAAGGGGGGATTTCCTCCTGGGTTACTTTTCACATCAGAGCAGAAGTATCAGATGAGCTTTCTCGAATAAATGAGTCCGTATTATAAGAGGAAAATATTGATAATGACAAAGAAATATAGAACACGGAATACAAAAATTACGACAAAATGTTTTCTCAATAACAATTCAAATGGTTGAAATTTGTAGCTGTATAACTGGTTACATGCTGTGTAACATAGTCTTCCCAAGATCGGACAGTCAACTCTTCCTTCTTGTTGAATGATTACTGTAGCTTACAAACATGGCCACTAACATCCACTACCGCGCATCGTACAATAAATTTTGTTTTTAAGCAACTGGATTTCAGAAGTGTTCAGAATATAAATAAAATTCAAATCCGTAAATAATATGCCATGTCTCTCTCTTGACAACCGTCGTCATACGACATTTATTTGTGGTGTTTCTCTTGACAACCGTTGTCATATGTTAGTAATTTGTTGTGTCTGCCTTGACAACCGTCGTCGAACGAAAATAACAATTGGTTGTATATCTCATGATAACCATGGTCATATGACTTGTGACAAGTTCAACTTTTAACAAAGTTCATAGTCTGCATGTAACATTAACCGAATGATTTACCATACAGCCAATATAGAGAGAGGCTTAATATTATAACAGAAAAATTAAAAAAAATAAATATAACAGAAGCATCCATGGCAGAAACACTCACAAGAGAAATGTCTACAACTGAAGCTAAAACATTCCACAACAAACATTAAAACTAAACATAACCTGCACCAGATACATCAGTAACAGACACTACAATAGAAGTATACACAACAGAACTGTATCATGTTGTGTGTGGACAACTGTACCACTCGTTCAGTGTGTGGACAACTGTAACACTCGTTCAGTGTGTGGGCACATGTACCACTCGTTTAGCGTGTGGACACCTGTATCTCTCGTTTAGTGTGTGGGCAGCTATATCCCTCGTTCAGTGTGTGGACAACTGTACCACTCGTTCAGTGTGTGGACACATGTACCACTCGTTTAGTGTGTGGACACCTGTATCACTCGTTCAGTGTGTGGGCAACTATATCGCTCGTTCAGTGTGTGGACAACTGTATCTCTCGTTTAGTGTGTGGACACCTGTATCAATCGTTCAGTGTGTGGACAACTATATCCCTCGTTTAGTGTGTGGACAACTGTATCACTCGTTCAGTGTGTGGATAACTGTATCACTCGTTTAGTGTGTGGACACCTGTACCACTCGTTTAGTGTGTAGACAACTGTACCACTCGTTTATTGTGTAGACACCTGTATCACTCGTTCAGTGTGTGGACAACTGTATCACTCGTTCAGTATGTCAACAACTGTATCACTCGTTCATTGTTTGGACAACTATATCACTCGTTCAGTGTGTTGACACCTGTATCACTCGTTCAGTGTGTAGACAACTGTACCACTCGTTTAGTGTGTAGACAACTGTACCACTCGTTCATTGTTTGGACAACTATATCACTCGTTCATTGTGTAGACACCTGTACCACTCGTTTAGTGTGTAGACAACTGTACCACTCGTTTAGTGTGTGGACAACTGTACCACTCGTTTAGTGTGTGGACAACTGTATCACTCGTTCATTATGTAGACATCTGTATCACTCGTTAAGTGTGTAGACAACTGTATCACTCGTTCTGTATGTGGACACCTGTATCACTCGTTCATTGTTTGGACACCTGTATCACTCGTTCAGTGTGTCTACACCTGTATCATTCGTTCAGTCTGTTGACAACTGTACCACTCGTTCAGTGTGTCAAGAACTGTACCACTCGTTCAGTGTGTGGATAACTATATCACCCGTTAAGTGTGCGGACACCTGTATCACTCGTTCATTGTTTGGACACCTGTATCATTCGTTCAGTCTGTTGACAACTGTACCACACGTTCAGTGTGTCAAGAACTGTACCACTCGTTCAGTGTGTGGATAACTATATCACCCGTTAAGTGTGTGGACAACTGTACCACTCGTTCAGTATGTCAACAACTTTATCACTCGTTCAGTGTGTGGACACCTATATCACTCGTTCAGTGTGTTGACACCTGTACCACTCGTTCAGTGTGTAGAAAACTGTACCACTCGTTCAGTGTGTGGACACCTGTATCACTCGTTCAGTGTCTGGACAACTATATAACTCGTTCAGTGTGTAGAAAACTGTACCACTCGTTCTGTATGTGGACACCTGTATCGCTCGTTCGGTGGGTGGACAGCTGTATCACACACTGAACGAGGTGTGTAGACAACTATACCACTCGTTCAGTATTTGGAAAACTGTATCATTCGTTCAGTGTGTGGAAAACTATATCACTCGTTCAGAATGTGGAAAACTGTATCACTCTGTGTGGACACCTATATCACTCGTTCAGTGTGTGGACAACTATATCACTCGTTCAGTGTGTAGACAACTATATCACTCGTTCAGTATGTGGAAAACTGTATCACTCGTTCAGTTTGTGGACAACTATATCACTCGTTCAGTGTGTAGACAACTGTACCACTCGTTCAGTGTGTGGACAACTATATCACTCGTTCAGTGTGTAGACAACTATACCACTCGTTCAGTATGTGGAAAACTGTATCATTCGTTCAGTGTGTGGAAAACTATATCACTCGTTCAGTGTGTAGACAACTGTACCACTCGTTCAGTGTGTGGACAACTATATCACTCGTTCAGTGTGTAGACAACTATACCACTCGTTCAGTATGTGGAAAACTGTATCACTCGTTCAGTGTGTGGACAACTATATCACTCGTTCAGTGTGTGGACAACTGTATCACTCGTTCAGTGTGTGGACAACTATATCACTCGTTCAGTGTGTGGACAACTGTATCACTCGTTCAGTGTGTGGACAACTATATCACTCGTTCAGTGTGTGGACAACTGTATCACTCGTTCAGTGTGTGGACAACTATATCACTCGTTCAGTGTGTGGACAACTGTATCACTCGTTCAGTGTGTGGACAACTATATCACTCGTTCAGTGTGTGGACAACTGTATCACTCGTTCAGTGTGTGGACAACTATATCACTCGTTCAGTGTGTGGACAACTGTATCACTCGTTCAGTGTGTGGACAACTATATCACTCGTTCAGTGTGTGGACAACTGTATCACTCGTTCAGTGTGTGGACAACTATATCACTCGTTCAGTGTGTAGACAACTGTACCACTCGTTCAGTGTGTGGACAACTATATCACTCGTTCAGTGTGTGGACAACTGTATCACTCGTTCAGTGTGTGGACAACTATATCACTCGTTCAGTGTGTGGACAACTGTATCACTCGTTCAGTGTGTGGACAACTATATCACTCGTTCAGTGTGTGGACAACTGTATCACTCGTTCAGTGTGTGGACAACTATATCACTCGTTCAGTGTGTGGACAACTGTATCACTCGTTCAGTGTGTGGACAACTATATCACTCGTTCAGTGTGTGGACAACTGTATCACTCGTTCAGTGTGTGGACAACTATATCACTCGTTCAGTGTGTGGACAACTGTATCACTCGTTCAGTGTGTGGACAACTATATCACTCGTTCAGTGTGTGGACAACTGTATCACTCGTTCAGTGTGTGGACAACTATATCACTCGTTCAGTGTGTAGACAACTGTACCACTCGTTCAGTGTGTGGACAACTATATCACTCGTTCAGTGTGTGGACAACTGTATCACTCGTTCAGTGTGTGGACAACTGTATCACTCGTTCAGTGTGTGGACAACTGTATCACTCGTTCAGTGTGTGGACAACTGTATCACTCGTTCAGTGTGTGGACAACTGTATCACTCGTTCAGTGTGTGGACAACTGTATCACTCGTTCAGTGTGTGGACAACTGTATCACTCGTTCAGTGTGTGGACAACTGTATCACTCGTTCAGTGTGTGGACAACTGTATCACTCGTTCAGTGTGTGGACAACTGTATCACTCGTTCAGTGTGTGGACAACTGTATCACTCGTTCAGTGTGTGGACAACTATATCACTCGTTCAGTGTGTAGACAACTGTACCACTCGTTCAGTGTGTGGACAACTATATCACTCGTTCAGTGTGTGGACAACTGTACCACTCGTTCTGTATGTGGACACCTGTATCACTCGTTCAGTGTGTGGACAACTATATCACTCGTTCAGTGTGTAGACAACTGTACCACTCGTTCTGTATGTGGACACCTGTATCACTCGTTCAGTGTGTGGACACCTGTATCACTCGTTCAGTGTGTCAACAACTA